GTACCGACTCACACAAACCGAGACGGTGATGGGAGGCGTCGTGTGGTGATCTCAGGCCCAGTGAGGTAGTGCGCCTGACTACCCCGGATCCTGCTGAACAAGTTCCTCTTGTAGCTCGATCGGTCACACCGCCATCGCCGTCGGGGAGAGGGGGGGCGACACTGCTTTGGCAGCGTGCACCTCGATCCTGCACCGTGTTTGTTATGACCCCCCCCCAATGAACACACCAGTGTGTACTTGTTACGTGAAAACCCGCTGGGACCCGGACGCCAGCACACACGGCTAGATTTCATGGCGGGCCGCCTAGGCCCTGGGGTCGGAGGTAGAGTCGGTGGGGGTGCCGCGCGCGGCGCGGGCTTCGCTGTCGGGGGCGTTTAGGGCGGGGTCGGGGAAGGAGGGTGGGGTCGGTCGCATTGGCGGCCGCGCGGCAGTGGCTGCGGGGGGGCGGGAGGAGGTGGTGGCGCCGACCGCAATGGCGGCCGACCCGACGTCGAGCGCCGGGCGAGATCGCGAGGGTCGAGGGTGAGCTCGAAGCCGAGGGCGGCGGCCGGGTTCTGAATGGTGAGGGCGTCGGCGGTGACGATGGCGGCGGAGATGGCGGCGGAGTGGAAGGTGTAGTGTGAGCGGGTGGACGCGCGAGAGAGGGAGGGCGAGACGATCGAGGGGTCCCGTACCATGCGGAATCGACCCTATCCAGTGCTCAAGTGCTCAAGAGGGCCGTAAAGTAAACACGGACGAAAAAATCTTCTTGGAAAGTACGTCCGTCCGTCGTTCGTGGCGATGTCGGGCTTCGGCGGTGACCTTCAGAGCCTCCCGGTTGACCTTCATCCCGAAATCCTGGCGCATGTGCCGCTGCACGGCCTCGCGCGCCTCGCGCTGACCTGCCACGCGTGGCACCGCGCGGTCGAGGCTGCCGTGCGCACTGTGCGCCAGTGGCGGCATTACTACGCGGACGCAGACTACGGGCACAGCGAGCCTCTGCATCAGCTCTTTGGGGCGCTCTTTTGCCGCTGCCAGACGCCGCGCGAGTGTATTGAGCTGTACACAGCGATGCAGAGCGCGGCGGAGATCGTCGAGGCCGAGGTGCCGCAGCTGCCGCTTTGTTTTGTCGACATTGCTGTTCACGACAATGGACCCGACGCGCTCGCTACACAGCTCACCAAGTGCCGCCGCGCGCAGGAGTGGACCGCCGAGCACATTGCCGAGGTGTTCCTGACGTTCGTTCGGTATTCGAGAGCCGGCTGGTTCAGCCTCGATGACGCACAGTCAGCCATGTTAGACCTTCGCGACCTCGTGAACGGCTTCGCAGTCACTTTGGAGGAGGCGCTCTCTGTCGTCCTGCGGCCGGAGGTCGTGCAGAGCCGCGCCTCACGCGCGTACTGCATCATGGAATCGTATGCATCCTTCTCTCAGACGGGGGGTATGATATCGGGGTATGAATTCGACGAGCAGCTCGGGACGCTCATGGCGACCAGCGTGGCTCAGATGCGCTTGCCGCTCGGCGATGTCCTCGAGCTGATTGCGCGGCTCAACGAAGAGGAGGGGCGGGCGGAGGCCCAAGGCCTGCTCGGCGACGACAACGACCGCGCCTCCACCATCGCCTTCCTGCGCACGTGGGCCGAGGCGACCGGCGCGCCAGCCTCCCTCTCGCCGAACCAGATCCAGGCCTTCCTCGGCGCCGTGAGCCGTTGGGACGCGCCGCTCAAACGGCACGCACTGCCACTCGCGCTCGGCTGGGTGCAGGCGCTGCTCGCGCCGCTCGCCGCGGTGCTGCCCGGCTGCCCGCCGCTGCAGGCGGCGAGCGGGCTCATCGAGGCGATGCAGTGAGGTGTGTAAACGCGATGCGAGGCTGGGGTTAGCGGAGCAATAGCGCGGGGATCGACGCGAGGCGGAGAGAAAACGACAACAATGCGCCCCGTTTTTACTGTTGTGATCGAACAAAGGCGACAGAATGGTCGTTGTAGTATTAATAAGATCTCGGGTTGGCACGCCATGTGAATGGTTGACCCACGGCCCCATTTGCGTAGGCCATTACCGTTGGATTGTGTGCACAGCCCTGGGCATGGGTGTCCCCATATGCGTTCTTCAAGCCCATTTGGTTGCTGCACCTCACTGTGAAGGCGTCAACATCCACCCACGTGTGCTGCCCGCCATTCAAGTCGATCAGCTCTGTTTGTCCGCCCCGACCAACTACACGATGTGCTTGGCACCGACCTGCGCTTGCGAGGGCAAACTCCTTCTCCGCCTGAAGCTCAGCCTTGCGGCGCTGGCGGACCTGCTCCTCCGACTCGGGTGGCTGCCGCTGCTGCCGCCAGAGCTGAGAGTATCCCTCGCGGAGGCCTCCGACGTCTGACTCCAGTGCCTTTAGAGCCGCCGGGACTCGACGCAGGGATTCGTTCTCAGTCTTCAACGCTTGGAACTCCTTGCGTAGACCAGCCTCTCTCTCCTCCGTTGCCTGCCGGAGGCGAGACGCCTGCTCCTGCAGGACTTGCTCGTTCCTCGCCGCCTGCTCCTGCAGGACTTGCTCGTTCCTCGCCGCCTGCTCGCGCAGCATCTGCTCATTCCTCGCTGCCAGATCTCTCACCTCCTGCTCGCTCCGCGCCCGCTCCGCACGCAAGGCCGCCTCCGAGGCCTCCGCCCGGCGTGTGAGCTGCTCAACCTGCACGAGAACGTGGCCAAGCAGGTCCGAGGTGTTGGCGTCCGACATCTCGCGCCGACGATCGTCCGTCCCATGCGGCAGTTTTGATTTTAGGGCCATGTGCATGGACTTCGTCTCCGTCGCCACAGCCGCGATCGCGACAGACGCCGCTCACCGTTTTGCCGTCCGCAACGCTGTGAGCGCGGCGCAAGCATCCCTAGACGCCGACCGCCGGGCCGCAGCCCGTGCGCACTTGCAAGACTTGGGCAGGGACTGTGACGGGGCGGGGCGCTGGTTGCGGCTCACTCGAGAGCTTGAGCAAAGCCGATCTTCCTTTCACGAGGCTCAGAGCCGCATTCGCTCTCTGGTGCCCTCCGATGGAGCAGCCGTTGGCGAGGAAGTTCTCGACGCGGCGGTACGCAGCCGAGACGAGAGGCGCGCAGGCCACCTTGAGCGGCTCCGCACCTCGCTCGAGCAGCATGAACGGTTTGCCGCAGCAGCGCAGCACTCCAGACTGCTGGCAGAGCTGCAGGCATTAGAGACCGATCCTGGCCCCGCAGCTATGGGAGCGGGCCTCACTGGCCAGGTGCGGCTTTCAATGCTCCGCGAGCGGCTCGTGCCACCCCTCGACGAATGGGTTGGCCTGGTGCCGCGGCTGCAAGACGAGTTGGCCGAGCTTGAGGCGGCAGGCAGCAGCGCCCCGGGCCTGGATGATCTTCACCGCCTTCGTGATGCCTGGTACGAGGCCGAGGACGCACTCGACAGGCTGCTCGAGCAGAGGCCGACGAGGGTCCGCGCGGGCCGACCGCAGCCCCCACCAGTGCCGCAAGCGCAGCTCGCGGCTGCCACCCGTGCAGTGCAGCAGTCGGAGCGCAGCCTCCGCGCCGAACGAGCTCGCCTCTCCGGCATGGCAGCGTCGCACTTTCCGGAGCTTGCCGTCAAGGAGCCGCTGCTGCAGCTTGGCGCTGCAGAGGGAGAGCTCTTCCAGCGGGGTGGGATGCTCGTGGAGCGCAGCCTCGAGCAGTATAGCGGGCCTGGCGGCGCGAGCTCACTCGAGGTACTGGCGGACCTGCTCTCTGCGCGCCACCGCGTGCTCCGTGGCGAGTTTGGGCTCGATGCCCACGGCCGCGGCGTGCCGTGCGTGCTCAAGGAGTACGTGCTCGACGGTGAGGGAGTGGAGTGGGGGAAGCTGGTGCGAGAGGTGTCCGTGCTCGCCAAGCTGTCCGACTCGCCGCGGTTCGTCGAGGTGCAGGCCGTCTTCCAGCAGGCCCGCGCGGGGCAGAACCTGGCATACCTGCAGCTCCCCTACTTTGAGAAGCGGGACGTGTGCCACTGGCTGGAGAGCGACCCGCCACCGTCGACCGACGAGCGGCGCAAGATGCTGCGGCAGCTCGCCGAGGCGCTGCAGCACCTGCACTCCCACGGCTACGCGCACGGGGACGTCAAGCTAGAGAACGTGCTCATGTCGGCTCAAGCCACCGCGCACTTGGCGGACTTTGAGAGCGTGCGAGAGGAGCCCGCGCCGAGCGCTGTGCGCAGCGCGAGCCGCAGCGCCGGTGGGGGCGTGCGCACGATGCGGTACGTTGCGCCCGAGCGGCGCTCGGGGCAGCCTGGGATGAGCAAACCTTCTGCGGCGAGCGATATGTACGCGTACGGCGTCTGCGCTCTTCTCGCATGCTGCGATGGCGAGGGGGAGGGCGAGGTTGTCTTTGACGCAGCCGAGCAGCTGCGCGGGTGGAGTCGCGAAGCCGCAAGCAGCGCGGGCGGACCGCACCTGCCTGCACTGCTCGACGCACTACTGGACCTTGAGCAACCGGCGGCGACGAGTGTGATGGACGCGCTGGCTCGACGGCTGAGCGCAAAGCAGGTGCCTTCGAAAGCCTTACACTTCAAGCCCTCGTGTGCTAACAGCTAACGACGTTCAACAGGTCTTGCTGCACCCCTTTCTCGACACGAGCGAGGAGATCCGGCTGGCGCGCCTCGAGTCTGAAATGGCCGCCGCCGCAATGTCGCTGGCTGGAAAGGAGGAGGCGGCCGCTCGACAGCGGCAAGAGGCGGAGGAGAGGCGGCTGGAGTGGGAGGCGGCGGAGCGAGAGAGAGACATGGCGCAGCGGGCGGAGGAGCAGCAGAAGGCCCTCGAGCAGCAGCTGGTAGAGCTTCAACGGCGGGAGGCGGAGCAGCTGGTAGCGGCGGCGCACGTGCAGGCGCAGAGGCGCGAGCTTCAGCGGAAGGAGGAGCAGGTCAGCGAGGCTCTGACGCAGCAACGCCGATCGGCCAGCGAGATTGCAGCCGGCCGCGAGCAGGTTGCGCGGCTGCAAGAGGAGGCGCGGCGCGAGCGCGCTGCGGTGGAGGCGGAGGAGCGGCGAGTGGCCACAAGCCGGGCGCAGCTCGAGCGGCGGCGCCAACAGATCGTCGCCGAGGAGGCGGCTGCACGCTCACTCACCCTGTGGGGGGCGTACTCGGGCGAGGTGCACACAGAAAACGCGGTGCGCGCCTTCTTCGCCCGGCGCCAGCGCGACAGCCAAGGTGGGCCGCAGCTGCGCGTGAGCAACGTGGTGAAGGTGGAGAATGCGCAGACCCTCTCCAACTTCCACTCCAGCGGCAGCTTCTACATCGACCCCGCCGAGGCTTTCCGGAGGAAGGGCGACACGCTCCTCTGGCCTCCCGCAGGAGGCGGCCACGAACGTCCAGGCGACCGGCCTGCTGCTCAGCTTTGCAGCGAATGGCATGCTCGGCCGCGGGCTGTACGGCGCGCCGGACCCGCGCAAGTCGCTCCAGTACTGCCGCTCGGCCAACAAGTTCATGTTTATCTGCCGGTACAACCTCGCGAGCCCCGCGCAGCACGCAGGCCCGAGCACGCAGCACCGCAATAGCATTTTCGACGAGTTTTGCGTGTATGACGAGCGGCGGGTGGTGGTGCTGTGGATGCTGAAACTCGAGTAGGATATGCTAGTGTGGTCGGTGGGTTTTGAAGAAATGCAAAGGATGTCAAAATCGTTAAAGAACGAAGAGTCGTGGGTCGTGCGCGTGCGCGGGGCTCCTCTTTGTCTTTCATCTCGTTTCATCCCTTTGATTTCTACCTGAGAACGAAGAGCCTCGCGAAAAGAATTTTCCCATAAAACTCCCTCGCACAACACTGGTGGGCACGGGACTGGCGCGCACTGGCACTAACACAGGCGAAAAGAACTTCACGGCTCAAAGCTGTGGTCAAGTTTCATCGCGCGAGATGGGACGGACGTCGACCGACAGCGTAGCGAATGGCCGACAGCACGGCCGACCTGCTCGGGCATGCGCTCGTGCAGGTGGAGCAGCTGACGCGCCCGACGTCGGCGCCGCACCGCGCCGGTCGCTGTAGCCGTTTCTGATGTCTCTTCTTCGCTTGTCCTTTAGGTTTGTTTTGGCAAATCAGGTTGTGGCCTCGCCTCCGCTCTATTCGACTGGTACCGCCGCCTCCGAGAGCGTCGACGGTGGAATTGGGTCGTGCCACCTCCCCGCAGCTTATTTCTTTTTTAACAAGGGCCAGCCAGGGGCCAACCCTTCCGCTTGTGACATCCACCAACCACCTCCACCGCCACCCTTCCTTCCTGCCTCCGCCTCCTGCCTCCGCCGCATCAATGCGGAGTGGCAGCTACGTCCACGAGCGGGCGGCCTCCTCCTCGATGCGAGTCGATGGCGGCTCGGCGCGCGTCGACGAGAACTACTCCTTCCTCAGCCGCGTCTACGAGTCGCTCGCGGGCTACGTTCGGATTGGATCCGTGCGGAACGCGGCTCGGCTGCTGCTGCGAGAGAGGCACCGAGACGAGGAGGAGGAGAAGGAGACGAGCTCGCGCGATTCGATGGCATCGGTGGTGCTGCGAGCCCGCAGCAGGTCCACCGCTGGCGCCGAGGCTGAGCCCGAGGCGATGGGAGGCGACGTCTTCTGGTGCTGCACGCCTCGCTTCGAGACGGCGTGCTTCGCACTGTGCGCACTAAACACCGCTCCACTCGGCGGCTTTGTGCGCAGCGCGATGGAGGCGTCGCTCAAGGAGATCTCGTACTTCATCACGGACACGGCCGCGTACATCGTGAGCAAGATGTGGGACGACATGCTCGCCTCTGAGCTCTTCAAGATCAACACGCTCTTCCTCTGCTCAGAGAAGTACGACCGGCCGTGCAACCAGCCGGCGCCGACGCACGTCCAGTTCGAGTTCTCCTTCACCCTCCTCGCCGCCTGCGCGCTGATCAAGACCTGGATCGAGACGCGGGCGAGCCGCAACAACCGCGGCACGCTCATCGTCCCGACCATGCTCGGCGTGCTCCGTCGGATCGTCGCCCGGCATGTCGAGCACACGCCCGTGACACGCCCCATCTCTCCGCAGGCATGCTCGTCGGCTGGTCGTTTGGAAGGGCCTTCCTCGAGCTCCGCGTCGACGCTGAGCTCGGCCCGTCGGCTGCGCAGAGATGGCGGAGGCGGTCCAGGGCGCGTCCATGACATGTCCGAGACATGTCCCACAGGCATCTTCAGCTGCGCAAAGTCGGCCGTGGCGGTCCGGTTGGACGACGCGGACCTCGGCCTCGGCGTCCTCTTCCGTGCGCACGACATCGCCGATGCG